GATGATTTACCCCTCCCCTCGTTTGTGCCTGGCCCAGCACAGTCCCCCAGGAGAAGCCAGGACTGAAACCCCAGGAGAGCCCCGGCGGGGTGCACGTGGTGCTCAATCCCCCCTCATTTTGCACCTCGGGGGCTCTGGTGAGGACTCGCACGGGGCGATTGGAGCCTCCCCTTGGTTTTTCTGGTGGTTTGGGACTTTAACGGGGTTTTGTGCAGAGGCCTGAGTGCATTTGGGGGTGTTGATGCCCGGGGGGTCCCTGGCTTTGGCTGTTTTGGGGTCTCTGCACAGCCAGGCCCCTGCAGTGCCTATGGGTGAGGCAGCACCAGCCCGGCTGAGCCGAGGGAGATGCCAATAAACAGCCTGAGGATCTGCGTGTCCCTTTCTGTCACCTTGCTCTGCCCGAGAAAGGGCCAGGGGGAAGTGTCCGCGTGTCCTGCTGCCCCATTGGGCTTGTGTCAGCCCTGTGGCACCCAGGAGGGACCTGGGCAAGGCGTGCCAGAGGTGCTGGACAGAGCCCAGAAGGGTGCAGGGGCTGGSGTGGCCGTGTCCTGCGTGTTCCCATCCCAGTGGGGTCTGGAGCTGCTGGGAAATGGGGTGGAGGGACGGGAAGAAGGGAGGTGGCCCCGCTGTGCTGTCACTCGGGGCACTGCCAGCAGCAGCCCTGGCACTGGTGATGGCTCCTGGGCTGGTTCCCAGCCGSCCTCTCTCGTTCTGCCCTTCAGGCCGGGCAGGAAAATCCAGGTGAGGCATTCAGGTTTCATCACCTGTCCCCCCCGGGGGTTTGGGGTGGGGATGGCTCCGCTGCCCACGGCGCTGGCAAAGCACTGGCTCCGTGCCAGGGGGTGCCAGGGCTCTGCACTGTCCCTGTCACGGCAGCTGGGACTCGTGTGACCCACGGGGAGCTGGAGCCCAAGGCAGCACAGGGACCCCGACACCCTGCTCGTGGTGACAGTGACACGGGACAGAGAGGGGTCTGTGTCCGGCTGGACAAATCCAGCCCCAGGCTTGTGCARGAGGGACCTTCCTCCCACCGGGCTGGGACACGGAGCCACGGGGCAGAGCAGGTCCGGGGAGTCGAGCAGCACAGGGGAGTTCCCTGTGCAAGGAATGCTCCTCGTGCTCCTCGTGCGGGGGTTTCTCCATGTGCAAGGCACTCGTGGCATCGGGGATGATCCCCGGGTGAGCCAYGGTCCCTCCTCCCAGGGAGGGTGAGCCCTGATCTCCCCAAACACGTGTCCCTTTGGGGGAACAGTGGGATCGGTGTGGGATCCCCGCTCTGGGGCGGAGCAGAGCCCAGGCCCCGCTCACCTGGCCTGACCCCGCTCGTTCCTGGCTGCGAGGAGCCGGAGGGCACGGCCGCACCTGGGGCGGGTTTGGGGCTGGCACCGCGCTGGAGGGTGGCAGGGATGGCGGGTTTGGGGCTGGCACCGTGCTGGCACCGTGCCCGAGGGTGGCAGGGCCGGTGGGTTTGGGGCTGGCACCATGCTGGAGGGTGGCAGGGATGGCAGGTTTGGGGCTGGCACCACGCTGGAGGGTGGCAGGGATGGCAGGTTTGGGGCTGGCACCACGCTGGAGGGTGGCAGGGATGGCAGGTTTGGGGCTGGCACCGTGCCCGAGCGTGGCTGCGGCCGGAGCGTGGCCAGGGCGGGAGGAGCCCTTGGTGCCCGTGGCTTCCCACGGCCGAGGGAAGCGGTGCCCGAGGAAGCGGGTGAGATGCCACATCCCACCGCGGCAGGGTGAGCCTCTGCTCCCCGGGCTGARTGCCAGCGGCACCGTGAGAGCTCCGGCTCACCTGGGCTGCCTCAGTTTCCCCGTGGAACAGAGGGATTGGGGACCAGGCAGGCTCGACACAGAGCATGGCCACCTCTGTCCCATCTCTGCTTTCCAGTTCTTTCCAGGATCCCTTCCCACCATCCCAGCCCCTCCAGGCAGCTGTGGGCTGCCCGCTCCCATCCCCAGGGCTCTCCAGGCTGCTCCGAGCTGCAGCCGGGCAGGGTGAGCTGTCAGCACCCATCAGTCCTCACCGACCAAATTGGCCTTGACGTTTCTCCCGAGCGCTGCTCCCTGGCCTGTGGTTTTCCCAAGGGCAGAGCAGCCCTGGCTGTCAGGGCTGGGAGAGCCAAAGGGGGGCACAGRGAGGTGCTGCACCCCCAGACATTGCTGGGTGGATGGAGCAGTGATGGAGCAGAAGCTTCTCCCTGCTCCAGGTGTGATGGGGAGATGCTGATGTGCCAGAAACGAGGGTTGTGACTGATAAAGCCGGGCTGAAATCTCCGATTTGTTTTCATTCCTTTATTTTACAAGCAGCCCTGCAGCCTGGGCTCTCCCTGTCCTCCGGATATCTCCGGCTCCCCGCCAGCTCCTGGGACACAGCCAAGTGTGTCGTGTCCCCACCTTTCCCTCGCCTTGGGCCTTGGGGACAGGGACAGCCCCTGCTGCCACCCCGGGGGCCAGACGGGACTCGGCGCATCCTCAGATGGGGGTGGCAGGAGAGGAGAGCGGCGGAGAGGACAGAGCCGGCTCTGTGCCCCCTGTCCCTGTCCCTGTGCCAGGACAGGGCTCTCCACGCAGAAGCCACGCTSCAGGTGGGATCACGGAATGGTTTGGGTTGGAAAGGACCTTAAATGGCACCTTGTTGCAGCCTGGAAAGCCAGCTGTCCTGGGAGAGGCTGAGGGGGCTGTGGTGCATCCAGGTGAGGGTTCCTGGGGGGCTCTGGGTTTGGGGGAGTCCGGGAGGGTGTTCCAGCCGGGAAAGGAGGGAGGCTGCGCACAGAACCAGCCCACGTCCGGCTCCCCCTGCACCCAGCTCGTCCCGGTTCCCACCCGGGCACCCCTGGGTGCCAGCAGGGAGCGGGCAGAGCGTTCTAGGCCAGGCTTAGCTGGGTAACTGCTCACCCCTGGGTGAACGGCGTGGGAATGGGACCAACCCCCGGCTGTGGGTGGGGGTCTGGGGGGYTACGGGAGATTTCTGGCAGCAGCCAGCGCTGAGGGGCTGGAGGGATTCGGGGGAGGCTGAGGGGGCACCGCTTTGTTGCGGCACCCTGGGGTGTCCRACAGTGATCCCCAGCACTGGGGCTCAGGGAAAGCTCCCCGCAGGCTCGGCAGACAAAGCTGGCAGGCGCTGGCAGCAGGAGGGGATGGGGCTGCCGGGAACTCGGGCGCTTCTCCCTGCCCTGCTTTTCAAAGTGCTTTTCAAGCCTTTTCTTTTCTTCTTCTCTGCTTTCAAAAGCTGCTGAGAAGCAGCGAAAGGAGCCGGCGAYGGCTGAGGAAGGGCGGGAGCGATCGGTGCTCCGGAGCTGCCCGGCTCCCCGACCTCGCCTCCCCCGGGCCGGCGGCAGCCCCGCGGCTCGGCGGGGAAAGGGGAAAGGGGAGGGGGCGCGTCTCTCCCAGGCAGTTTTTCAAGTCGAGTGGGTGCCTGCTCTTCCCAGCCGCAGCCAGGCCAGCCCGCGGGAGCCTTCCCGGCGGCTCCCACCAGCCGGCTGATGTTAATCCCTCCTGACTGCGCTGTCTCAGCCATCTCCACGCTCCCATGACAGCGTCAGGTGAGGCGTCCCACCAGCCTTCGAACACACACTTTGTCTCCACGTGAGTGGGTCGAGCTGCCGGTGGGGGCTGTGGTAAACCTTCCTCCTCTTCTTCCTCACCCACTAAACCCCAGCGATGGATCCCAGGAGCCCCCTGCTCAACCACGGGCCGGGGGCTTTGCCTCTGGCCTCAGTTTCCCTCTATGGAAAGCAAGGAAAATAAAATTTGYCAGTAAAGTGGGCTGTGAAAACGGCACTGGAGGAAGCGGCAGAGCCCAGGATGGAGACACAGGCATGAGCAGGATGGTTCTGGACAGAGCTGGACAGTGCTGCCCCCGGCCTGGGGGCAGAGGCTGTACCCTGGGTGCCAATCGCAGCATCTCCGCAGTGCCACGCTGGCCCTCACTGCCCGCCGGGGTGCCAGTTCCGTGGTTRCACCACTTCCCTTCCCACGGAGGGAAGTGCCAGCAGTGTCAGCCCCAGATGAGCCATSCCAGTGCCCGGTACTGCCCACCCCCTGCTGTCACAACCAGTGGCATGAGAAACCTCAGGACATCACAGCGCCGTGTCCCAGCACCCGACACCCCAAGGGTGGCATGGGCAGAGCATCCCCACTCGCCACCTCCCTGCACCCCACCCTGCCTCCCTCCACAGAGACGCCAGATGCTCCGGAATAACCAAGAAACGCTGCATTAGGCAGGTTCGGGATAATCTCGGCTCTCCCGCCCCTTTTCTCCCACAAAGGTCTTGTCTTAATCCCCGCTCGCGGCTGTGCAGCCCAGCACTCTCCCTTTCAGCCCACTGTCAGTGGGGTGGGGATGATCATGGAATTCACGGCCAGGGCCGAGGGCCGGGGTGGCCGTGGGATCCATCCCTGGGGCTGTGGGGCTCGGAACCAACACCAGCGCTGGAGGTCTGGGGTGTTCATGGAGCTCCGGCCACCGCCCACCCAACCCAGCACAGCCAGGAGGGACCCCACGGCCCCCCAAAAGGGATCGAGCAGTGGAACTGGCTGGGGACAGGGGGATGGGGACAGGGGAGRGATGTGGGTGCAGCCTCGTGGGTGTCACTGTCACCAAGGGAACGAGGACATCGCTGCTTTCCTGGGGCTGATGCGGCCTCCTCCTGGAGTGTAAGCGCGGTTCTTAATTCTCCTTAATTAATTAGAGTCGGTCAYCCACCAGCACCTCAACCCCGCCGCTCTGCCAGGGGTGCGGCCAGCTCCGTGCTCTGCCTSCGGGGACCCCACCCGTGCCCCCCGGAGAGAAGGGACCTGCGGACCCCCGCCCCCGCTGATCCCTCCATCCCCCGGGAGGTGCCGATCCCCCACTCGTGACCCCTCTCGTGTCCCCCCATCCCCCGGGACCCCCGGGATGGGGACAAGGGTCCCACCCCCCCCACCCCACTCGGGTTTGAACGGAGGGCGTGGGACCGCCCCGTGACGTGGCGCTGTGCCATTGGCCCGGGCGGGGCGATGATGTCATCGCCGGGCGGGGGGGGGCGCTCCGTTCCGGCGCGGCGCGGCCATGGACCGGCGGCGGCGGCGGGGCCCGGGCGAGCAGGTACGGGGGGGACAGCGGGGGCTCCGGGGGTCGCGGCGGCCCGGCGGGACCCAGCTCCGCTTGGCCGGCTCCGGCCCGGCTCGTCCCGAGGTGTGGGGAGCTCTCCGCGCCGGGCTCGGCTATTGTCCGGCGGGCGGGCGGGGTCCCCGGCGCTGCCGCGCTCCGGTACCGGGCAGAGGGGCGGCCGGGMCCCCCCGCCTCATTCCCCGCCGGATCGCGGGGCCGGTGCGCGGCTCGGGAGGGAGAAGGGGTTAACAGGATGCGGAGCGCTGTTTGCCCAGCGCGGGGCACCGGGCCGGCTCACCCCGCCCCAGCGGCGATCGGCGATCGGTGCCCGCGGCTCCGCCGAGCCCCGCGCGGGGGTGGCGGTGGCCGGAGCGGTGCCGGGGCGGTGACTGCCCGCGGCCCGTTTCGGGAAGGTGGATCCTCGCCGCGCTGGAGCGGGTCCAGCGGCACCCCGGGGCTGGCCGGGACTGGGCGCTGGCGGGTGCTGAGTCAGAKCCGCCCGAAATCCCCGTCCCGTTCRTYCCCCGGTGGCCCCGGACAGGGCTCRGGGTCCCGGCTSAGCGCTGCCYKCCCTCCGCCCTGCKCCCGTCTCCTGGGCGGCACACGCCGCTCCCACGGGCGCCCCGGACAGAGGGACCCGCCCGGCTCTGCCAGCSCCGGGCACGGGACTGGCTCCCAGACCCGCTCCGGTGCCCGTGGAACCGGGGGTCGGTGGGCAGCGAGCGTTCGTGAGGCGCTGGACTCGTCCCACGCCGCCCCGGTTTGACCCCGGCGGCAGCAGCAGCGTGAAGTATGGATGTTTCCAAGCGCCGAATCTATGGATCAGGAAGGCTGTTCCAAAGGGAGYTGGGATCTATAGAGCAGGAGAGCTGTTCTAAAGGGATCGTTAATGGGCTCTGGGGGGAAACTGAGGCACAGCGTGCGATCTCTGCACCCAGGACAGGGCTCGCTCCCCAGCCGGGCACGCAGTAAACAAATCTGTTTCGGACGCAGMTCCCTCGGAAACCGTGGAGCGRCTCCAGGGGCGGTTTAGCGCCGAGRAGGCTCGSTGTGTGTGGGTCTGGGGGTGCAGAGCGAGCCTGGTGTGAGCCCCCAYCCCCGGGGCAGCCTCCCCCGGCCCAGCTGAGCCGCCGCGGGGCTCCCTCCCCGGCCCCCAGCGCCAGCCCCGCTGCCGCCGGCGTTGTGCTGACCGTGCCGGTCTCTCCTTTGTTCGCYGGTTTTGTCCTGAGCGCTCACAGCCGCCGTGGGCCCCCCGAGCGGGCCGGCTGCGGGCTGCGGGCCCCCGGCAGGTAGCGAGCCGCGGCCGCGCTGTGGGAAGTCTGCCTGTTTACTTCCCGTCCACCCCAGCGAAACCGCAGGAATTCGGAGCCCGGCGCAGGTCGGGAGCTCTGCTCGGCCCCGGCATCCGCTGTTGCAAGAGACAGAGCCATAACCAGCGAGGAGATAACCTTTCCCCCCCGGAAAGGTCCCCTCGTGGCCCTGCAGAGCCGCGGGCCGGTTCGTGGCCCCGGAGCTGGAGGATTTATGGTCCTGTGCGTGTTCTGGCGTGTCCTGCCAATAGTTCCTTGCTGAACTCTGGCTACCTCCCGCCTGTTGGCAGTCCCTCGGGGAGCGCTTCTCTGTTTTTGGCACTGGCGGTGAGTTCCCAGCCCGGTGCTGATCTCCGTGCCGAGAGCCCTGGCGAGAGCCGAGCTTCTCCTCCCGCCCCGTATGCCATCTCTCCATTCCCGGCTCTGATGCTCGCTGGCAGCGGCTTTTCCCCTTCCAGAGGCTGCTCCGTGCATCCCAGCGGCGTCCCGGTGCCAGGGACAGGACCAGACCTGTCACCGCGCYGGGGTGGAGGCGGTCACCGGGGCGCCGACAGGACCGTCTGCCCCCAGGCCCTGGGAAGACTCGCTGGGGAGCCCGAGCGAGGGTGTGACAGCGGCTGGGTCCCCTCCTGGGCCGGCGGTGGCAGGGTGTGATCCGTGCCCTGTCTCCAGCTGCTGTCTGCCGGGCTCCAACATCAAAGGATCAAAGGATCCCCGAGGGGCTGATCCCGAAAGCGGGGCTGGGGTGGCCTCCCTGTCCCGTGTGTGGGCTCTCCCTGGCCCTGGGCAGCGTGGGGGACCCGACCGGTCCGGCACAGCCCCGGCCCCAGCAGCGGCAGGGCGGGGAGAGCATCCTGTGATCTCGGGGTGCTGCCTGGGGGGCTCTGCACGGCAAAGCTGGGGAGCTCGTTTGGAGCCGGCTGGGCCGGCCAGGAGGCTTTCCCAGCTTGGCTTTCCCAGCTTGGCTTTCCCAGCTTGGCTTTCCCAGCTTGGCTTTCCCAGGCTGTGAGCGGGACGAGCTGGGGGCAGGATGCACGGGAGCGTGGCTGGACTCGGTGTTTCTCCTCTGTGAACTCATTCAGTGGCCTCCTTCTCTGAGCCACTTTCACTCCGGGCCCCACGGGTGCCTGAAGCTGAGCAGGATGGGATGAAGAGGACGGAACGGGGATCCCGTGGGAAGGCTGCACCATCGGGGCACRTGGGCCTGGCCAGGGCTGTCCCAGTTCTGCTCAGGTTGCCCTGTCCTACAGCAGACATTCATTTATGGGGACAGTTGTGTCCCTGGGCACCTCAGGGTCCCGCTCCTCGGGGGCTGTGACCCCAAAAGGCTCAGAGGGCAGCTGGGCAGCAGCACCGAGCCGTCAGTACCAGTCATCCCTCTTGTCCTCGAGCTGTGAGTGCAGGTCCTGTCCCCTCTCCCTCGCCCCAAAGCCCTGCTGGGGCTCGGCTGTGCTCTGGGCTCACTGCCCCGGGATGGGCAGTGCTGCCAGGTGCCTGCGCAGTCTCTCGGGTTACCAGCAGCTCCCCCTGCKAGGTGCCTGGAAAGGCAGCGCCGCCGATGCCTCCCTGGCCTGGTTTCCTTTGTGAAAGCGCCGGGAATGTCACAGGATCTGCTCTCCCCGRGCGAGAGGAGGAGAAAAGGGCTCTGTGTCCAGCTCCCCTGGGCCGGGCTGTGTGGGCAGCACGGGCAGCAGCGTCCCTCTGTGCTGCCATCGCCTCTCGGGGCGAGCTGGGAGGGACACTGAGGAATGGGGGCAGATTTTGGCTGCTGTGAGCAGCTCTGTGGGCTGGAGCAYTGAGGGGAGGGGGCCACGGTGCTGGCTCGGGGGCTGTGACGGTGATGGAGCGCTGCTGGCCCGGCCGGTCCCGCTCCAACCTCCCGGCGGCCCCTCTGCCGCGGCTCGCAAAGTATCTCACAAATGCTGAACTTGGCCCCGAAATCTAAATACAAGGGAGGGACAGTCCCCAGATGGCCTAAATCAGCAGCACGGTTGCCTGGCCCAGCTGGGGAGCTCGCCGGGAGTGTTTGTTTTATGGGAAACCAAAGGCTGCAGGAATGCCGGCCTGGAAGGAGACGCTGGAAGGGGGAAGCGTTGGTGCCATGCACACAGACCCGGCCGGGAGATCCCGGGCAGGGAGCGGGGTCCAGCGAGCTGCTGGGATGGGCTGAGGGGGAAGGAATTGCCGCAGTTCCCGGTGTGATATGCAGGGAAGGGGGTGTGGCTGCTTGGTGGCTTCCCCGAGCTGCTGGGGGCGAGCTGGGGGCTCCTCCATGTGCAAACACAGCCCCGGGTGTTTGTCCCGCCGAGGGGGCTCCCTGGTGGGTGGGATCCTGCTCAGGGCTGGGCAGGGTGGTGGCCATGTGCCACCAGAGCCGTGCCACGGGCATTCCTGCCCTGCCTGGCCGGGCCCATCCGGGAGCCGTGCACGGAAGGGTTGGGCAGCGGGACTTTGCCCCAGCGTGGGGCCAGAGTCCATCCTGCCCGGACACGGCCTGCCTGAGGTCCCGTGGGGGACAGCGGGGWGTCACAGCGTGGCTTTGGGGAGGGAAGGGGGCTGGAGCCGCGCCCTCGCCATGCTGGGAGCTGTGGGGYGGGTGCTGTGGCTCCTGCTGGTGTCCAGCCGGGCAGGACTGGGCTGTGCTGGGACCATCGCTGGGAGCTGTGGGACTGTCCAGCTGCACCCTGGGGCTGGGTGGGCAGCGGGGGGGACGCGGATCCGCCCCGAGGCTCCCCCCGAGGACACGTCCGTCCCTTCCCCGTGTGCGTGTGAAGGGGCGCGGCGGGAGGAAGGGGGTGGCCACCGGCCCTTCCTCCCCGGCAGCCTCTCCCGGGACCACCTGGGGCTGCCTGGCGCCACGGGATGCGGGGACATTGTCGCCGTCCTTGTCCCCTCCTGCCTGGCTGCGGGCGCCGGGCTGCACAGGTCGGTTGGTGGCCCCGAGGTGGCCGAGGGAAGGAGTAACGTGACCGTTCCCGTTCTGGTCAGCCACAGTCTGGTCATTTCTGTCACCTCTGAGTCACAGCAGTGACGATGGCCCGGCCGGAGGGGGTGGGGGTGGTCTCGTATGGATTCAGCTCCGGGGAGGGCTCTGGGGGGCTCCAGGGTGGCAGCAAAGCTTTGTCCCCGTGTCCCCAACCCGCCAAGCACGAAGGGGTCCCCATCGTGGTCCCCCCGTCCCCCTGCTCGGCTGGCGGTGCCTCCCGGGGGCTCTACGCCCTCCTCRCACACTTCCTGCCGTCTGTTTCCAATTCCTCCTGGCGTCTGCTCCTCCCCGCTTTCTTCCAATTAAAAAAAGAAAAAAAAAATAAAAAATCCCAGGCATCCTCTCAGCGTGCGGTTCGCGGAGGCTGGAGCTGCCGTGCCCCGCTCCGGAGAGCTGGGGCTGCAGCAGGAGGGGACGGTGGGTGCCCRTGGTGCCCATTCAYGTGRGGCACGGGGTCAGGGATCACCCTGAAGGATTTCTGTGCCCAGGTGTTTCTCCTGCAGTTCTCTTTGTTCCGGGGATGGGTCTGGGACCGGCTCGGGGGGTTTGGGGGGCTCGGGGGGTTTGAGAGGGATGCCCTGCATGGAGCCCATTCGCAGCTGGCGGGCACAGGGGCACATTTTGCCGCTTGGCAAGCTGAAATCTGGTGCCCAAAGCCTGACCGTGTCCCTCCCTRCTGTCCCCTAGGAGTGACCCATCCGTGACGCCGGCGGGACCCCRTCCGTGGAGCCGCAGGTGTGAGCGAGCACCCAGAGCGGCTCATCCTCCCCCGGCCGCCACCATGCCCATCCTCAAGCARCTCGTGTCCAACTCTGCGCACTCCAAGCGCCGCTCCAGGGCCGACCTGACGGCCGAGATGATCAGCGCGCCCCTGGGGGACTTCCGCCACACCATGCACGTGGGGCGCGCCGGGGACGCCTTYGGGGACACCTCGTTCCTCACCAGCAAGGCCGGGGAGCCGGTGCCGGAGGTGGGAGAGGAGCCGGGCGCCTCCAAGCCCGGGCTGCTGTCCCGCCGCTTCCGCAGCAGCAAGCGCTCGCAGTCGGTGACGCGCGGGGACCGGCGGGACATGCTGGGCTCGCTGCGGGACTCGGCGCTCTTCGTCAAGAACGCCGTGTCCCTGCCCCAGCTCAACGAGAAGGACGTGGACAGGAGCGCGGGGCAGCTGCCCAAGAGCCTCTCCTCCAGCCCTGTGAAGAAGCTGCCTGAGGAGATGAGCCCCGAAGAGCAGCAGCGCCCGAACGGGGCGGCCGCGGGGCCGCTGAGCCCCGGCTTGGACGAACACGACTTCGGGGACATCACGGACCTGCCCGTGGTGGTGGCCAAGGGCGGGGCGGGCTTGAAGCACGCCGAGTCCATCATGTCCTTCCACATCGACCTGGGGCCCTCCATGCTCGGSGACGTGCTGAGCATCATGGATAAGGATCAGTGGGAGCAGGACGAGGACCCCGACGCAGAGGAGAGCCGCGAGGAGGAGGAGGAGGATGGCGAGCCCGCCCCGCCCGGGTCCCCGCTGGTGGCCCCGCCCGGCCAGAGCCCAGCCCGCGGCGCCGGTGGCCGCAGCCCCAGGGACAGCAGTCCGGCCTCCAGCTGCACCTCGGGGCCCGAGGAGCGCAGCCCCGTGCCCAGGCCCCCGAGCCAACGCGGGGCGCCCCCGAAACGCCCCGACAAGGAGTTCTCGTTCGCCGAYGAAGACGATGACGAGATCCGGGTATAAAGGCGGGCGGCCGAGCCCAGGCTCTGGATCTCGCTGAGGCTGCTCGGACACGGGGCTGAACACCCCGATGGTGGCACTGGGGAAGACTCCACTGCTCCCTCGTTCCCCCTCCCCTGCTGCAGCAGGACAGCGCTCTGCTCTTGGGGCTGGGGGTGCTCCTCACACCTCTCGGCCCCTGGAGAGCTCCAGCACTTCCTGGGAGGGGGAAGCAGACTCGATTTCAGTTCTTTCTGTTGGACTTTGGATATTAGCTCCTTTCTCCTGCCCCCTGCCCRTGTAAAGCGATTTAGGACCCGACAAGACGAGCCTTTGGAGTTCTAGCCCCTTTAGTAATATATATCTATTTTCCACCATACAGTTTCTACTGTTTTCTGATTTGTACTTACCTTTCTCTACTCTCTTTTGGTTTTAACTGAGGAAAGATCTCCCACGAGGAAGAGCTTGGCTCTGGAGCTCAGAGGTGGCCCAGGACTGTGGGCAGCTCCAGCCTCCTGGGWTTTTTGGGGACTTTCTGCAGACCAAGAGCCTCCATCCCCAGTGCCGTGGCGGGTGCTCGCTCCCCATCCCTCAGATGGATGAAAGGATGGATCCATCCCACATTCCTGACCCTCCAACCAGGCTGGGGGTCGCAGGGATGCCCCCAGCCAGCCCTGGGGATGGTGATGGACGTGTGGCTCTGTCCCCTGTGGGAGGAGCCCCTGGAAGCCCCCAGAGCCGGGAATTCCTGTGTTCTGTGGGGCTGGGCGGTGCCGGGAGCAGGCGGCTGGAGCAGGAGGTTTTATACCGTGTATGTAAAATGCAAGGAATAAAGGAACTGGTAGTGACCGCGGTGGCCTGAGTTCCTGTGGGGTGACACCGGGGGGACCTGCTGCCCACGCAGGACCAGTAGCCCTGTGCTGCTGCCAGCCCCAGCCCCGTTCTGCTGCCTCCACCTCGGCTGCCCGTCCCTGGCGCTGCTCCTGGCCGCGGGCTGGGCACCTGCGGYGGCCGAGCTTTCTCTGCCCGTGTCCTGAGGAAGCGGGAGAGCTCCTGCTGGCCGGATCTGGCTCSGGGCTGGGACCCTCTGGCCAGGCGGCTCCTGCCAAGGGATGGCTGTGCCAGCGCTGCCCTGTCCTCCCCCAGCCCTGCTCGTGGCCAGGGGGAGGAGGGGACGGCGCTGGGGGCAGGACTGGCTGTCCCTGCTCTCACGGGTTTGGGGCCAAGGGCTGCCCTGGGGGTTCCCGGCCCCGTGGGGCTGTTGTGGCCCCGGGTGATCCCATCCCATCCCACAGCCAGCTTCCCACAGCTCAGCCATGCTGAAATGGGGCTCTGCCAGTGCTGGGAGCGACTGCCCGCTCCAGGCCCGCAGATGGACTGGGCTGAGAGGGGCAAAGTGCCAGGAACGGCCCCACAGCCCTTCCCTGAGCGGGTGGAGAGCGTGGAGCACTGGCCAGGCTCTGCTCACTGGACAGAGGGAATGATTTATCCCCCTCAACATGTCCCAGCCCTGGGAGGGGCTGGATGCCYCTGTCCTCCCAAATGGATCTCCCTGGAGAAGCCAGGGGAGCGGGCAAAGGCTGTGCCACAGYGGGGACACAATGGGGTCCTGTCCTGTCATCCCGGGCAGGGGACATTGGGCCATTGTCTGGGACAGGAGAACAACAGCAGCTGCAGCTGGAGCCTGTGAGCTCACCAGGCTGCCTCTGCCCCGGTCACCGTGCCCCTCTGCCCTCTGCCAGGGTCCCGTGTCCACCACCTGATGCTGCTGCTGTCACCTGGAGGTCACCAGGCTGCTGGGGGACACCTGGCTGCTCCTGTCCCTTAGGGATGCTGTGGAGGGTGAGGCTCTGTCCCTGGGCTTTGTCCCCCTCGCTCCCCGGGGCTGTGGGGCGGGGAGCAGCCCTGGGCTGACCCTTCACGGGCCGCCTGCCACCGTCACTCGGCCGCCCTGATCTTTGTGACGCCTGTCGGCTCCGGGCTCGGGCTTGGCAGCGCCGCGGTGCCGCGAGCTGATGGGGCAGAAAGAGTGTGCGGGGCTGTGCTGGGCTCAGCTGGGACACGGCCCCGCTCCTCGGGACAGGGGATGGCTCTTGAACACCGGGAGGGAGCGGGGACAGGGACAGCCACTGTTCTGTCACTAGGGGAGTGACACCAGCACCGCCAGTGCCGGCTGCACCCAAACATCCCCAAACCCTCCATGGGCACGGTGACACCTTTGGCACATCCCCGGGGTGCCCAGCACCCTGCAGCACCCACGGGCAGCGCTCTGGCCCTGCTGGTCCAGTGGTTTGATGCCGAGTGACAGAATGGGAGCAGGGCTCCATCGGCCGTGTCAGCCCACGGCGCCCCGGGCGCTGAGCGTGGCCGCGGGAGCCGCGTGACGGAGGGGATGGAGGGGATGGAGCGTTGGGATAAATCCAGGGGCTCTCTGGGATGGGATGGGATCGTGGTCATGCCCAGAATGTGCCACTGCAGCCTGGCACCTGGGAAAGCCCAAAATCAGGGATGGGAGCGGCCTCTGGGCAGCCCAGTAGAAATGTCCCTGCCCGTGGAACAAGGCGGGCTTTAAGGACCCTTCCAGCAAAAAACATTCCATGATTTTATGATTTATCGGGATGAAAGGTGTGATCCTTCCCAGGAGCCCAGGGCTGGGGTCTGTCCTGCTCTGACCCTTCCCGGAGCCCAGAGCTGGGGTCTGTCCTGCTCTGACCCTTCCAGGAGCCCAGGGCTGGGGTCTGTCCTGCTGTGACCCATTCCAGGAGCTCAGGGCTGGGGTCTGTCCTTGCTCTGACCCTTCCAGGAGCTCAGGGCTGGGGTCTGTCCTGCTCTGACCCTTCCAGGAGCCCAGGGCTGGGGTCTGTCCTGCTCTGACCCTTCCAGGAGCTCAGGGCTGGGGTCTGTCCAGCCAGGCACTGGAGAGCTGGTGCTGCTGTGCACGGAGTGATGCTCAAAGCACCCAGAGCACGCCAAATCACACCCCGTGCTATCGGAACGCTCAATCCCAGCATTTTAACCGCGTTTGGCTCCATTTAAGGCCCTGAAATGAGGGGTTAACCCAGCTCACAGCAGCCCCAGCTGCTTTTCCTGGAGGAGAAGCAGATGTGGGAGCAGGGAGGCTGAGAGGGGCTGGCTGGGGCCCGGGRCTGAGCTCCTCAGCTGCGGCACCAGGCAATGGGGGCTGCAAATTGGGATCAGATGTGGGCAGCTCCCCTCTCTAAATGCAGCACTCCGGGGCTGCCTGGGGAGCAGCAGGAGGAATAGGAGGGGTTTTTTTTTGTGCTGCTGGGGCCCAGGGTGGCTGCAGGGACCTCCAGAGCGTGGTGCTCCCCTGGGAGAGCTGTGTTTTCCTTGGGGAGTGTCCCTGCCAGCCCCTGGGAGCTGAGCTTCCCTGCTTCTTTCCCTGCCTCTTTCCTCGCCTCTTTCCCTGCCGGTGCCGGGCGGAGCGGGCTCTTCCCGGAGCAGGGACCATGCAGGAGCTGGTGGCTGGTGTGGAGAAGATCAGCTTTGACTCGGAGGCTGAGGCCGAGCAGCAGCGAGGAGCTCGGTCCCTGCCCTTGGCGGGGGTGGACGGTGAGTCGGGGACAGGGCTGTGGCATTTTGGGAGGGGGACAGGGCTGTGGCATTTTGGGAGGGGGACAGGGCTGTGGCATTTTGGGAGGGGGACAGGGCTGTGGCATTTGGGGAGGGGGACAGGGCTGCGGGAGCTCTTGGGGTTCTTGCACCCACCGCCACCCCTGGGTGGTTCGGGGCGCTGCTCCCTCAGGGGGTGTCAGTGTCCCCAATGTCGCCGTGCTCGCAGCACGGCGGTGGCAGTGAAGCTGTCCCCAGGTGGCTGCGGACAGGGCTGCGGGGACAGGCCGGCTGTGACACGCGTGTCCCCAGGAGCGCAGGGTCCGGCCGGGCGCGGWGGGGCCAAGCCCGCGGTGTGCAAGCACTGGCTGCGAGGGCTCTGCAGGAGAGGCGACAGCTGCGACTTTCTGCACGACCACGACACCGCCAGGGTGCCCGAGTGCTATTTCTACTCCCGGTTCGGTAGGTGCGGGGCCGGGGAGCTCGGGGAGCCTCTGCCCGCCCCTCCGGGAGCCGCTGCCATCCCTCGGGTCTGGCCTGGAGCAAGGGGCTGATGCCACCTCCCGACTGCGGGAAGAAGTGTCACTGTCACCCGGCCGGGGTCAGTGTCACGGGCGCTCCCGTTTGTCCCCTCCTGCCCCTCCTCGAGCGATTCCCGTTGCGTTTGGCGGGCGCTGTCCCCGATGTGCCCCCGCTCCTCCCGCAGGCGAGTGCAGCAACAAGGACTGTCCCTTCCCGCACGTCGATGGCACCGCCAGCACCGTGGGCTGTCCCTGGTACGACCGCGGCTTCTGCAGGCGCGGTGAGCTGGGACAGGGACGGGGACGGGGCTGGGAGGGCAGGGGGACCCCACGGACCCGGTGGGGATTTGGGCTCGGGGCTGCCGGGAAGGCAGAACAATCCCGGTGCGATGCCGTGTCCTTATAAATGTCCCCTGTGCCTGGCAGGTCCCCTGTGCAAGTACAAACACACGAGGAGGGTGATGTGCTCCAAYTACCTGGTGGGCTTCTGCCCCGAGGGACCCAAGTGCAAATTTGTGCAGTAAGTACCGGGCAGGGCTTGGGACGGGGCTGGGGACGGGGGGAATGTCCCCTCTCTGAGGTGGCTGTGGCCTTGCAGAGTCAGGGACAAGGACCCCAAGGGTCTGAATTCACCAAACCTCAGAGCTGAGGGTCAACGGTGGGTGGGTAGGGGACAGCCCTGGTCCCCACGGAGATGGCTGTGGGACATCCCTGAGGGGCTGTGGGAACTCCAGGACATCCCTGAGGGGCTGTGGGAGCTCCAGGACATCCCTGAGGGGCTGTGGGATCCTCGGGAGGATCTGGGGCCACCACAGGGGATAACTGTGTGTCCTGTGTGTCCCTTCCAGCCTCAAGGCCGGGCTGATGACCAGCAGCACCGACCCAGCCAAGGTGAAGCCGTTTTCTCTGTACCCACGGGGGTGCTGCCCCAGCTGCCCCCCAGCTCCTGGGGGACAGGAGCTGCCAACTGCCCCCTTTCCTGCCCCATTTCTGCCCCACAGGAAGCTGGGTGTCCATGGGGGCTGCTACAGCGGGATCTGGCTGCTGGAGAGGAGAGGGGAGGTGAGGATGTGCCACCCAAGGAACCACCCACACGTGTCACCCAGCAGCTGGCAGCTCCTCTGTGGGACACCGAGGGCTGCCCCCCGAGCACACAGAACCTGCTGGAAGGAGGAACCTGCTCCAAGGTGAGAGATTTTGGGAGTGGGAGGGCTGGGAGCAGGGATCTCACCTTGGAGAGGTGGTGTGGGGATTCCCAGTGATCCCAGAACAGCCTCCTGGACTGGAAATGTGCCTTTCCCCCGTGTTAACATGGCCTGCCCCTGGAGCTGGGCTGGGAAGGAAGGATATTGTGGGATTGAAATAACCTGACCACAGGGGAAGGGATTTGAGTGATAATAACCAGTGGGAGAACCCTGGGAACAACAAATCCCTCCGGGTCAGAGGTTTGGTGCAGTTGGGTTGCTGTTTCCATGATCCCACTCCATCGGAATTGGGGTCAAAATGAGCGTGTGGGGCTGTGGCAGTGCCTGATCCCATTCCCTCTGCCTCCAGAGCGGATCAGTCAGTCCCTGTGCYGGTGAGAGYGGGAGGACTCGGCTGGAAATGCTGYTGGGACAGTGACTCCAGAGCTCCCACACGGATCAGGGAYGGGGAACGGCACTTTCCTGGCCTAGAAAAGCCAGCGGGGATGGCCCAGCACCACTCACAGCTCGCACAGAAATCACTTCATGCAATGAAAACGGGSATTTTCCACAGCTGGCTGCTCCCCCTGGCACAGCAGCAGCGTTCCTGAGGGGTGGAGGGGGCAGGACTGGCTCGTGCCAGGATCCTGGGCACAAGGGGGACACAAAGCACCACGTCTGACATCACAACCCAAGCAGGAAAGGAAAACCCACACAGGTTTTTTATTGCTGGTAAGAGAGTTTTTGGTGYGGCACCTCTGTCACGGCACTACTGCACTGTGCAGAATAAAGAGCTCAGACTTTTAATTCTTGGCTTTTCTTTTTGCCCTCGGTGCCTGCAGCATGACCAACCCTTTCCCAGACATGTTTGGGAATGGCAGGCTCTGACTAGCACTCCTGACTGTCCTGGTTTGTCTGCTGCAGACACAGCTTTGCCCTTTGGGCACAACAGCTCATCCCGTGGAGGTTGTTTTTTTTTTTTTTTTTCCCTGGAATTAGGGTGCTGTGGTCTGAGCTGCTGCTCCCGTGCCTTCACACAGGTCCTGACCAGTCCCACCAGTACAAGGGGTGAGAACAAACTGGGCTGGGCCAGGCACAGCTCTGTGATTTGGAGAATGGTTGTTGGGATTGAAGCCCACCCTGCCACGACCCTCAGTGCCAACACTCAGCTACAGAATTGTCAAATAATCTCTAAAGACAGCTCAGGATAAGGTGCTGTCCCATGATCCCAAAGCAGGGATTTGGGACTCTGCAGCCCCCAGGAGCTCTACTGCCCACACTGACCTCTCTGGGTGCCTCTAATGCTTTCTTATTTCACCACTAAAAGCTGCCTGGCGCACGGAGGGGTGACCAGAGGCTGTCCCTGTCACCTCTCTGCTACACGAGGGGACCTGCCAAGCTGCCCCTCACAGCTCCAGCCCCATCCAAGGCTCTGCTGCTGGCAATCCCTGCTGGGATCCTGCTCCTGGGTGCTTCTGCTGCCTCCCAAAGAGCTGTGGCTGTTCCTTGGCTGCTGCTCCAGCTCCTTCAGTGGTATTTACGCCAGCGGTGACGTTCTGGAAAAAAAAACAGGGACAAAACCATTGCAGTGTGAGCACAGGGAKCTGTTTGAGGGCTCCAGCTGGGAGGGTGAGCCCAACTGCAGCTCATGTGCTGCAAGGGGAAACCACCCAAACACCAGCAAATCCCTCGTGATTTRTCAGGAAATCCAGGGAATGGGAGCTCCTGTTGGAACATCTCCCTGTGCTTTGTGCAGGCTTTTCAAAATGCTCCTGACAATCCTGGGAGAAGCTGTGAGTCAGGAACTGTTATCAGCACTTTTATTAAGCAAATTCCCCTGCCCACCTAGAGAATCCTGCTCTCTCAGCTCTGGTATTAGTCTTAAATGGGGAGGATTTAAATTATTCCAGAGCTTTAATTAACAGGAATGCTAAAATAAAACTTTGCAGCAGTTGGAAAAGGAAGAAATCCTGAAATAGGAGAACCCAAGGAAGCCTTACTGAAGTGCTGGTAGTTCCAGCCATAGCTGAGCAGGCAGTAGCCAGCCAGGAGCATGGAGATGCCAGCGGGTCCCCCCTGCCTCACGTGGATGTATTTGGCACAGTAACTGCTCCAGGCTGTGGGGAGAGAAAGCAAAGGGATAAATCATTAATTCAGTGTTCCTGTGCAGCTTTCCAAAGCTGAGATGTTGGGGCTATTTATTCCCAYGGGCAGAGGGCWGGGTTGGGTGGGATGTGGGAAAGGGATTGTTCCCTGTGAGGGTGGGGAGGTCCTGGGATGGAATCCTATCCCTGGAATTGTCAGGCTGGACGGGGTTTGGAGCAGCCTGGGACAGTGGGAGGTGTCCCTGCCCATGGCAGGGGTGGCACTGGATGGGCTTTATGGTCCTTCCCAACCCAAACCATTGTGGATTCCATGATTTGTGCATTTTTGACCCACTGGAGCAGCAGTGTAAAGCAGGGAAGGGGGATGAATCTGCCCCAAAAGCCAGGAATTCTCACCTTTCTGCAGTGCTCCCAGTAGCCCCTGGGGAGAGAAGCTGCAGGTGCTGATCCAGGTGTGCAGCTCCCCCAGCCTCACCTCCATGAGGGGCCTCTCCGAGAGGGGACCTGCGGGGTGACAATCACAGGGGTCACAGGGAGCTGGGATCTGACACGGGATTAGGGCTGGGAAAAGGAGAGGGAATCACCTCTCCCACAAAGTCGGGGCTCCACCAGCCTGAACATGCACGAGCCTGACTCCAACCCCCATAAAACCATCAACCATCGGCTCTGCAGCTGCAACGGCTTCTCCTGGATCCTTTCCTGGATCCTTTCCTGGATCTTTTCCTGGAGCAGCCCAGCATTCCCCACCCTCCTGTCCCATTCCCAGCTGCCATCCCAGCACTTTTGTTACCTTGCTGGGGCTGTGAGAAATGGCTCGTGGGTGTCTCCGCTGCAATCCTCACATCCTTCTGGAATGAATGCATCCCTGGAAAAATCCTCAGCCCTTCACGATCAGGATACAAATCTGGAAACCACTCCAAGCCCGTGGCAGTGGCCCTGGAGCTGCTGCCAGAGGCCCGGGRTGAGCAGGTGGGCTGGGTTTTGGGGCTGTGGAGCAGAGCCAGCTCCGGGGCTCCCCCCAGGCTCACGATGGGCTCACGATGGGCTCTGTCCATCTGCTCCCCGCTGTCCCGCAGCCCCTGCAGCCTGCTCGGCTCATTTTTGGATGTTCCCTGGCCTCTGAACGCCTTCGTCAGTGACAGATGGAGGTTCTTGGGGCGCAGAGCTGACACGGGGGCTTTAGATCCCACCCCGAMTTCCAGGTGCACCTGCTCCTCTCCTGCCGTGGATTTGTCTCTTTTCTCCTGCTGGATGAGCTCACCGAGGCTATTTCTGCTCTCAGAGGAATCCTGAAGTACCTTTGTTGCTTTTAAAGTGTTTTTTTCTCCTTTGGAGCTCGCAGTCCCGTTCCCCACGGCTCCCTGGTTCCGAGTCTCCTTGCGCTTGGATTTTGGAGCAGTTTTTTTTCTGGGAGCAGGACCGGGCTCCGTCCCTCCCTCAGCCCTTCCCGCTGCTCCCGCGCTGCCGCCGGGCTCCTTCTCCCGGACCACCCTGGCTCGGTGCTTCTCGATCACCACCTTCACTCCCTTCTGCAGCTTCTTGGGGATCTCYTCCACCTCCTCGGGGTGCAGATCCAGGCTCCTGGCCACGTCCTGCACCGCGGGCTCCCGCGCTCCCCTCAGATCCTCCCGGGGCGCGGCGGGACCGGGAGTTGGGGTGGGCCCCGGGACGGTGCCGGTGGCGGGGGAGGCCCGGGGGCTCGTTGCTGGTCGCGGCGCGGCCTTGCAGTGCGGGAGGTGCGCGCGGAGCCGCTTGAAGGGCCGGTGGCAGTGCGGGCACAGCTCCGGGCCCGGCGCCGCCCCCGCCGCCATCACCGCCACCGTCCCGGTCCCCTCACGGCGCCGCGCTGTGACGTCACAATGGCGCGGCTCCCCCGCCCGCCGCCGGCCCACGCGGCGCGCGTTGTGACGTCACAATGGCGCAGCCCCGCCCGCGCGGGCGCACGCAGTGACGTCACGGGGCGAGGCGGCGGCGGAAGCGGCGGTCGGGGCCGGGCAGGGCCGCGCTGCCGCCCCTCACCGCGGCCTGGGCCCTCACCGGGGCCACCTCCGCCCCTCACCGCGGCCTGGGCCCTCACCGGGGCCACCTCCGCCCCTCACCGCGGCCTGGGCCCTCACCGGGGCCACCGACCCCTCACCGGGGCCACCTCCGCCCCTCACCGCGGCCTCAGCCCCTCACCGGGGCCACCGACCCCTCACCGCGGCCACCGACCCCTCACCGCGGCCTGGGCCCTCACCGGGGCCACCTCCGCCCCTCACCGCGGCCACCGACCCCTCACCGGGGCCACCTCCGCCCTTCACCGCGGCCTCCCGTCCGCTCCGCCATGAGCTGCCGGCAGCCGCTGCCGAGCGAGCGGGGAGCGAGACAGAGGTGAGTGAGGGCAGCGCGGCCTGGGGGCGGGCGGGNACCGCGGCCACCGACCCCTCACCGGGGCCACCTCCGCCCTTCACCGCGGCCTCCCGTCCGCTCCGCCATGAGCTGCCGGCAGCCGCTGCCGAGCGGGCGGGGGGAAGGAGGGGTTGGGCTGAGGGGAGGGGGTTCGGCCGCTCGGAGCAGCCCCGGGGGTACCGCGGGGAGAGCGTTGGGGAGCGGTTCGCTTCAGGGATGGGGTAATGGAGAGCGGCCCCCGAGCGCTGGGAGGGATTAAAGGGGCCTGAGGGGTTCAGGGTTTCGGGGTGGAGGGAGGGTTTAAAGGGGTCTGAGGGGTTCAAGGTTTCGGGGGGGAGGTTGGGTGCGTTCGGGAGGTCGAAGGGACACAGGGGATGCAGAGGATTCGGGGGAGGTTCTCGGTGTGATGGGGGAGGAACCAGAGGAACCGTGGGGCTGGTGTTGTGAGGCAGTGAGGGATCGTGGAGTCAGGAAATGGGGTGGAAAGGATTTTAAAGCTCTTCCCAGGGGCAGGGCCACCTTCCATAGCCCAGAGTGCTCCCAGCCCTGTCCGAGCCGGGCTGGAGGTTTTGAGGTCACTGCAGGTGTTGGGGAAAGGAAGGATCCACGGACAGCACAGACATGGGGTGAGGGRGGAATGTCCCTTCCCCAAAGAGAGTTCCAGGACGGGGAGAAGCCGATGGACAGTGTTTGGTGCCTGTGATCCCAGGGGAGTGGGGAGGCAGCTCTGGGCTGTAGGCGTGGGCCAAATCCTGGCAGCTGAGCTGCTGCACAGCCTGGCTGGAAGAAAAGAGCCGCTTATAAATACCTCCCCCGAGTCTGTTTTGACTCATTCGAGCACAGATTAATTTTAGGCACCAAAACAGCTCCATCCCGTGTTTTTGGAGGGTGCTGAGATCCTGGCTGACTTGTCATGTTTGTACGGTGGGGAAAATCGTTTGATGTTTGTGCTGAAATCCTGTGGAYGGGAATTCTGGGATGCTGCTGGTGATCAGCTGCTGTGTTGATGWCACAGAATCCCAGARTGGTTTGGGTTGGAAGGACCCTAAATCCCATCCAGGGCCACCCCAGCCATGGCAGGGACAYYTCCCACTGTCCCAGGCTGCTCCAGGTCCTRTCYAGCCTGGCCTTTGAGTTTTTCCCTTTATCTCCTCTAATCTGGGAATACTGGCACCACCCCCACCCCATTATCCYCCTCCTTTGCTTTGATGCCTGCAAAGATTTGGATAAAAATTAGGTTTAAAATTGTACTTAGTGAGCCAGACAAGATGTCACGAGAGGGTGGTAAATGCATCAAAAACAGAGAAGGGTTTGTTTTCCATGACAAAATTTTGTTTCCTGACAAAACCTTATTTCCACGTGGGAAATATGATTGTTTTGGAAGGTAACTTGACTCCAAACAGGGTGGGGGAACTAAAGAAAGTCCTTGTGGGGTCGTGTGAGCAGGTGAATAATTGGGTGTTCATGGAAGATGTGGTCACTGGCACTCAGTGTTAGGTGTCACTCCGAGCCCAAGGATTATTTTTAGGTGTGCAAGGCTGACAATTAATTGTTCAGTGAGTTTATTTAGAAGGGTGGTTTTAGTGTGAGTCTGTGTCCCTTAAACTGGTRTAAAGCATCTTGTGAGAAACAGGATCCTTTGCTCTGTGCCCTTAGGCAGCAGCTAAAAGGAGAGTGTGAGAGTCCACAGCACCTCAGGGGTCTGGACACATCCTGCGTTAATTTGTTAAGTATTCCTGCTTTTTTGGGTGCCTTCAGAGAACAAAGCAGAAGGTTGATGAGTAAGCTGATTATTTATTTTCTCCCTGAATTTCCTGCAGGAAGAGGAGAAGGAATGGCAATGAAGATGATGGTCACGTTCCCCAGACAAAACGTAGCACCAGGAATACTGTCCTCCAGGACTCATGGGACACTGAGGTGAGAGCCTTCCCAGGCAAATCCACTTTCCTTCAGTGCTGAATTTCAACAGCAGTTGGAATATCCTGTGTATTTTTTTTTTTAAATTTTTATTTCTTAGCTTTGTGTTTGAGGTCATGAGGTTTGACTTGGTGACATCAGAGATTGAAATCTGTAAAAGGCAGTTTGGAAATCAGCATTTCTGGTGAAGCTGGTTATCCCTGGCCTGAATATTTCTGGGAATAAGCTTCAAATCCTCCTTTGCAGCACCCAAGGGAATAATTTGCTGCTGTGTCTGTTTTTGCTGTGTCCAGAGCAGAGGAGATGATGAGGGTGGATGTGTCCATTGCTCCCTTGGCCTGACCATCAACTTTGCCTTTACTTACAGTGAGGTGATTATTTGTGCTGGGAAGACAAAACACATTCCAGCCAGGCCTTATCTGATGTGGAAAAAATGCTCTGATAGAGCTGCTCAGTTCACAGCTAAAACACTCAAACTCCAACCATTTGCTTTTAACTCTTATTTTCCGTTATTTTTTGTTGGATGTGGGATAAACTCTTGTTTTCTTACCCCTCACCAGACAGGTGTTCTCTTGGTGCAATTTGCAAAGCCGTGAGATTTCTTTTTAAAAAATATGCTGATTTCCCAACTGCTGCCGGATTTCCTGTGTGAATCACCTGCAAATTCACTGTGAGCAACGTCCTTGTGTTGCAAAACATTCATGGAAAGGAGGGTGCAGAGCAGAGGCTTCCTCCTGCTCTGCATCCCTGGAAGTTAATGAAATTAATTTCTTTCAAGGTTTTAGAAATACCCTTGGTTTTTTAGAGCCTTCTCACTTTGAAGGTGGACTGTAATGAGCAATTATAGTATGGATTATTATAGAATTAACTCAATTATTCARCTCTTAATTGTCCTTTGCAGAAAATATTTAGTTGCTGTGTAACTTGAGCTCTTTTATAATCTCTAAATGGTTTCTAATGTGTTTTTATACGTTCCTATTGTGAGGGAGACTCTCTCTTAACCTGTTCAAGTAGATTATGTGATAGGACACTGCTGGAAAACGCTTTAGAGCTGCTGTCCATCATGAAGGAATTCTCTGGGWTTAAAACTGCCCTGGTTGCTGTGTTGCTGTTTTTCCAGGACAGCAGGGAGWCTTTGCATTTTGGGGTGTGATGGGGAGAAGCAGCCCTGGTTTGTTGCCATCTGACACTGAATCACTTGTCCAACAGGTCAAACCCCTCCGTGTGTGTAGAGTAGTTAAAGGCTAAAGCAGCTTTGTGGCGGGAGGAGGACGGATTTAGTGTGGAACAAGGGATTGAAGTAGGAGTAATGAAATTAAGGAAATGAGGAAAACCCCTGATGGTGAGTGGCAGAAGCACCTTTGCTTGTCGTGTAAACACCTGGTGTTTGGGCAGAGCCACTAAAAGCAGGACTGGCACTGSGTTTGTGGCCACACAGCAGGGGTGACCTTCACCCTGGCCTGGTTTTTGGGTKCTGCGAGGGAACAGCACGGGCATGACTGACCCGGGGCAAGGTCACTGCTCAGCCTAACAGAGACTCTGCTTCTTGCATGCACTTGCCTGGTAAAAGTCTGGTTTTAACACATTAAACCCTGGTGTGAGGCAGGGAGAAGCTCTCACTGCTGAGGAATGTGGACGGAGCTTCCCAAACACCACCTCATTCTCTGAGGAACAGAATTCCCAATGTTGTCTCCTGATGAATAGAGCTTTTTCTCTCCCTCTCTTTTTTTTTTTGCTTGTTTTCTTCTTGGATCCCTGAACTGAGCATGCYCAGAAATTCAAGCCCCGAGATTAAATCTGTATTATTCCAACGTTTGGTTAAGGACTTCCTGTGCCAAAGGGAGAAATCCTTGTGCTCATTGTGCACAAGTGCTTCCGATYGGTGTCGCCTGGAAAGTCTCAGCCAGCTGTAACACTTGTATTTACTTCCCTCATACTTGGTTGTGTGCAAAGACACCTCTTTTGGTTAAAAATCCCCACTGGTTTTGGGATATTGAGTGAGAAAGGGGGTGTGGGAGCAATTTGTGACTTCCAAGAGCACGTGAGGGTCACTTTTCATTGCAGGGCGTTGCACACCTGCTTTTTGTGAAACATTACCCAAAGTCCTGATTCCTCTGGCCCATTTCAGTTAAAAGTTGACTGTTCCCTCTTTCAAATTGAGACCATGGCCTCAAGATGGCAAGCAGGCAGCTGCATTTTTAAACAGGACTTGGCTTTTGGCAGGATCTCTTCTTATTTTTTTTAAGTCTTGCATGTTTTTTGCTCTGGAGAAGGAGGTGAAAGGAAGTTTTCTCCTTAGTGGCAGTTCAAACATGAGCTGTTCTGTGATGTCACYCCTCAGTCCCTCACTTTGAATCCCACTGCTCACCCCAACCAGATCCAATTCCAAAAGATTTGTGTCTTCTCCCCTTGGATTGTCCTTTCACCAGGACAGGCAGCACTCCTGACTTCCAATTTTCACAGATTCTCTCTCAKTGCTGCTTTTTGACAAATTGCTGTAAGGATGTGCCATTCCTGCTGCTCCTGGAGAAGCTGCTCCCAGGTTACAGCCACCCTGAGAGTGACAGAAACCTCTGCTCTGGGGTTCAGTCCTTGGGCAGGCACAGACACGGGGCTGGAGCGACAGCCAACGTTAAACATTAGCGAGGCAGAGCCTTTGCCATGGAATTTCGCTTCCTGTTCAGCCTTGTTCTCCCTTTTCCAGGRGGTCAGCTGYGTTRTTTTCCCTGTATTTGGTTAGAAMTCCATTGCTTGCCCCTAAATCAARTCAGGAGAAATWGTAATGGATCCTCTAAGGGSATCCCACTCATGGGAATGCTGAGAMTCCCCAGTTGTGCTCTGCACCCGGGGCAATCACCAATGAAAACCCTTTGCTCTCATTTTCCCTGGGAAGGAAGCRAAGTCTCWGTGTTCTGGCTGACCCTTTCCTTCCTGAAYAACTTCTGCAAACCCGAATTTCTTGTAGTTCCTCTTTGTTCTGGCTGATGCCAGGATTTCCCAGAGCTCAGAAACACCTCTGGGTGTTCTTGGCAGAGATTAAATCAAAGTTCTTGTCCCCCTCTGTTGAGGGTAGGGCTGGTTCTTCATTTGTAACTAAAACCAGATAGTGGCTCTGTTAAACTCATCTTAGAAGATGTTGAGAGCAGCAGGGGCTCAGTGGCTTTCTCCAGTTCCTGTCACGAGGGGTTGTCACAGATCTGCACGTTGATACATTGAACAGGACGTTTGTTCTAAAACAGTGTGATGTTATGGTTTAATGAGCCCAGCAAACCTTGAAGATGCCCTTTTGATAGTTAAAAGTATTCATAAATGTCACTGGGCTGCTTTCCTTTGCCCTGTAAAGCTTTGTTGATGCCTGTCTGCTGATTTGATGACTTTAAGGATTCTTTTCTTGTCTAATTGTAGTCCAAAAGCGTTACAGAATGTGCACCACAGCCTGGGGACATGGTAGGTGTTCCATGTGATTTGGGCAATGCTAAAGGGGTTCCAGTGCTAGTGAATCTTTGCATTAGAGAACTGGAAATAAAGAGGGTCTGACAAACCACGGCTGTCACCAGCCTGAGGTGTCAGAAGCACGTCCCAGGACACAGTGCCAGCTTTGAGAACCTCTGAGATGCACAAAATAACTGCTACTAACAGCTGGAAATGTTTGTTGAGATGTGAAATGTGAGCAGCAAGCGAGGCCAGGTTCTCATTTGGATTTTTACCTTGATTTGCAGAAGGTGGCTGTAACGAAGCTCAGTAAGGAGCGCAGACTAAAAGGAAACAAAGTGTCCTGTGCGGTGGGTTTCTCTCAAGGCTGCTGTGACCCCCTCCAGCATCGCCTGTGACTCTTTTGTGCTGCTCTGCAACAGTAGCTGGGCTGCCCAGCCCCTCTGCCGGCTCCCCCCTGTCCTTCTGGGATCTCTTTAGATTTTGGAAGAGGATTTGGGTTCAGGTTTTTCCTGTGGTTCCATCTGTGCTCCCTGGGGAATGACCCCGCTGCGTGTTTCTCTCTCCTCGCAGCCTGGGGCTCTTGGCTTGSCTTGCTGTGCTCCCACAGAGCTGAAGCATTTTTGGTGCTTAGCAAAACAAAGGAATTTGTTAGGGTTGGATGGTCAGGATCGATGGTGGATCAGTGCTGGGGGGGTTGTGTTCTATTCCAAACATCCACAGTGCCTCCCTGGGCCTTGGACACACTGCTGGGTGCAGTTTGCACYATTCCTGATTTATTGCAAATACACTGCTGGGTGCAGTKTGCACYATTCCTGATTTATTGCAAATACACTGCTGGGTGCAGTTTGCACCATTCCTGATTTACTCCAAGTGAGGCCCTTCTGCATGTGGTAAATCTCTGGGGACTTCTTGAAATTTGTCTTCTTCTGCTGTGGCCACAAAGCTTTGASTTCTGTGGCTTAATCCTTACAAAAWTGTAGGGTTTTTTTAGCTGCTGTCACTTACTCTGGCTGCTTTTATCAATTCATTTATGGGATGGCAGAGTAGCCCCTCGCTGATTGACTCACCCAAATATTTGCAGGTCCTGACCAGCAAATCACMCAGAACTAAAATATTCCAGCTGGAACTAATGGGACCTCTCCTTAGCAGCCCTTAAAACGGTGTGAGCCAAGCAGTTTTATGTCTTTGAATCCCTTATGATGATGGCAAATGTTCTTCCAGCCATTCCCAGAAACGAGGTTATCCTAAATGCTGGCAAATGAGCCCTGGCCTTTCATTCCAGTCAAATGCTGAGTTCTCTTTGCTGCTTGTGGAATTCTTGGGTGCCTGTCGCTCTTTCACTGTCATCTCAAGGAAATTGGTATGGAATTGCTCTGGAACACTTCCAGTTAAGTGCMATGGAGTATTTAACTGGGAGAAGAGTTGATGTCAGGGTGTTCAAAGATTTAAAATGGGTGTTGTGTGCATTTAACAGCCTCTTGCTTTGGATGCTTCAGATCTCACTTTAGGATTGCCTTGTAGGAAAACGCTTTGCATGGTGCTTCCCTCAAACCTCTGCTAGAGCAGAAGTGCCAGAGCTGCCCTCCCTGCCTGGGAATGTTCTTTATTTTCCAATTCTCGGATGACTCCAGCAAACTTCACTAGTGCTAACGTGGGGTTGGGGGCAGAGCTGAGGGTTTAACTGGGAAAGATTGAAATCCAACATCCTGGAGGTCAATGAACCCTGGGTGAAGGCTTGTCCCTTCAGCTCTGTGACAYTGGTGTGGGTAACAACAACCTCTCCATGCCAAGGTGGATTTATTCACTCCATCAGGCTGGAAATATGGGAGGGAGGGATTTATCCTAAAGGTTTGCTTCCGTGGGGTGAGGAAGAAGTGTCTGATGTTGCTGTTCACCTGTGTCCCAGTCCTCCAGCAGTGACAGCGGGAGCAGCAGCAGCAGCAGCAGCTGTAGCAGCAGCAGCATCAACAGCCCCGACAGAGCAGAGTCCAGCCTCAACCCCAGGATTGCAGGATCCAGCCCTGTCTCTTCCCAGCCCTTCCATGAGCAGTCTGCACTAAGCCAAGGTCCTTACTTCCACATCAACCAGATCCTGAAGGAAGCCCACTTCCACAGCCTACAGAGCCGGGGACGCCTCCCTACATGATGACCCAGCAGCTCCCTGCCTTCTGTGAAGGGACAGCACTGTGTAGATTTGATATTTCAACTTCAAAGTTTGTTAAAATGGAATTGCACAAAATTGCCTGTTGCCTTTTCAGTCTATATTTGAAATAACAGGTTAACAGGAGATTGTTTACTTGTGGTTTGCTGCACTATTGCAATGCAAAAAGGGGCTTTGAAGCAATTTTTATAGGATTCTTTTTGGGGTGGTTCTAAAGTACATGGCAAGAGGAGACTGAGGAGTCCACATGTGTGTTATAGGATTGCAAACTGTCCAATTCCAATCGACTGCCTAATCTGTTTGTTAGCAAGTTGTTGCTTTCTGTAAAGTTCTCTTAAGCGTTCCTCTTCAGTTTTATAAGTCTTTTTTTAATTTCAATAAACTAGTTAAAAAATAATTTGGCAACATAATTTTTTGAGCATTTAGAGTTAGTGAGAATAGGAGCAGTGAGTGCAGGTCCTTAGGCCTGGCCAGCTGTGAGSTCCCACCCAGTTCAGGGTGATGAATCTCTTATGAGCTTCACTGCTGCAGGGCTGGAAGGAAGATGTGAAATTAGAGCCAGGACAGGTCGGGCAGGTGCTGCAGGGACCACTCAAGAGCAGGGTGGTGGTGCCTGGAGGAGTCTTACCCTGCTCCAGCACCCCTTTCCAGCTGTGAAATGTTTTGTTTTCTGTTAGTGTGTAGGTTGTTTTGGCATTTTTTCCTTTAATTTGACTTTAATGTAAGGATAGGAGGTGAAAGAGCAGCTCCAGCTCTGTTCCAGCAGCCAGGGGACAAGGACAATCCAAGCTGTGCCTGGTGACACGCCCTGCTGTGGCTGAGGATGGGAAGTACTGACAATCCCAGAGGTGCCACCGCTCCTGCCACGGGGACAGAGAGATCTCAGTGAAGACAAACAGCCAGAGCAGAGTTTTATTGGTTGCTGCCTCACTTGGTCATGCCTGAGAGCCAGCCCAGCTTGAAGAGGGACGGTGCCACCGCRTCCTCGTCCTCGGTGACGAGCTGCCGGAACAGGGAGCCCGGGCGCGCCGCCTCGTCCTCTCTGGGCAGCACAGGAGCTGCAGCCTGCTCCTTGGGAAAGACAAAAGTGACTCTGACTATCACAGCACCCCYGGGGCTCCCTCCCTACCCTCCCTCAGCAACAGGAGCTGCAAGGTGGAACCACRGCACAAGCGCTCCTCCCGTGCAGCCGGAGCCACCCGGAGCGGTGTCACTGCTGGGTTGGTGACAGAAACACCCGGGCCAGCAGTGCAGCACCTCACTGCCATTAGCAACAGGCACGTGACGGATGGCACTCAATGCTCTAAAACCCCCAACACTCATCAAAACACTCTGAGCAGCAGGGCAGGGGCTGGTGCTCTCGGAGCAAGGGATCACAGCGTGGTAGAAGCACAGCTGATGCCCTTGCAGGAGCTGTTCTTGGAGAATTAYGGATTTTAACCTCTCCAGCCGTGTTTTAACATTGAAGAAGGAGCAAGCATCTGTGAGGGATCCTGGGAAGTGTGGCTAGCACAGAACACAGGTGTGCTGAGCACAGCACAGCAGCTGAGGGGAGTGACAGGACGAGCCAGACATCACTGCAGACTGCTACTGTCTACTGCAGCTGAGCTGGGAGAGGTAAGGAATACCTTTACTGGGAATTCTGGGCTTTCAAACACCCCTTCTACTGGGTCTGGTCCTCCATTCCCAGTTATGGAGAAGGAGAGTTGCAAATTGAACATCATCTCAAGTGACACTGGTACAAACAGACCTTGAACTCTTGTTTTGGCTCTTGTCAAGACTCAACAACTTGTYCCAGTTGCCAAGACCACCACAGATGGTTTGGGTTGGTAATGACTAAAGGAAACATTAATTGCTGCTTCCCACAGCAGTGAGGTATTCCTTGGCTCTCACTCAGCACACAGAGCTCCATCTAAGCAGACGTTTTAAACTGGGRGAAATGGAGCAACAGAAAGATTGGCTGCTACAACTCAGCACCAGGAGAGCAGCAGGACACTCCTCACACAGCTGGGGTACCTGGCCAGGCCTCCTCAGGGGTTACAGGGCAGCATCCCACTGGAAAGGAGTTGAAACATTAGCTACTGTCCTTCAGCCTTCCTTGCAGCCCTATTTAATGAGTTGTCTTTGATGCATTCCCCTCATCCATGTAAACCCTCACTGCCTCTGCAGGGTGGGCATTGCCTGCTCTGCCACAGAGCAGTGACCCCAAAARCACTGGGGCAAAGGGTGGGGTTTTGGAGGGTCCTGAAGAAATCCACCCCATCTCCTGCTGTGCTGCCGTAATGATTCATTTTACTGAAAATAAAAATCAGGTGAAATMATCTTTGGCTACTTTCTTCTTTTCCCCACAAGCTCGAGTGTTGGAGGGACAATAAATACTGGGGAAATATTCCTAGTTTTCACGGTGAGTTGCACCAACCTGGACTCTTTCTGTGCTCCTGGCAGTGGATTTGCTCTTCCGGGAGCTGGACATGCTCAGWGGCAGAAGTCCAAACCTTAAGAGATGGAAGGAAGAAATGTAGGAAGCAGCRATTCCAGAGCAGCTTCCCAGAGGCAGGAGAGTGCCTGGAAGAGCTGGGTGCCTCACCTGATCTGGCTGGATGCTAAGGGCAGGATGTTGTGCAGCTCCTGCGAGCTCAGTGCACCACCTCGGCTCATGTATTGGTGCTCTGTGCCCGTCAGCAGGCCAAAGAGAACCTGGWAGGCACAAAGAGCTGTTTGGATTGTGGAAGAGAGTTTGGAAGGCACAAGGAGCTGYTTGGATTTGGGGTTCCTGCAGAGCTGACCCTGCAGTACATGGTGAGTTCACTCAGTGCCCCACCACTGAGTTTGAACGTGAAGAGTGTCCCTTCCCCCTCTTAACTCTTGTGTTTCATTATTCCCACAGTTGAGTCCCAGACCCGTTTCAGCACTACTTAACCCRATTAGTGTTGCACAGGCTGCAGTGAATCCTGTTAGATAAAGTTCAGCCAGCCCCACACACRGGGCTCAGCCAGCTCCTCTTATCTTCAGCTGGCACTGCACACTCTTCCCCTTTCCAGGGAAGTGCCAGTGCTTATCTGGAGGCATTAAGCAGCTGAAAGCCCTGCAGGAGGCGTTTGCAGCCCTGTCCCCACGTCCAGCCCTGCTCCCTACCGAGGTTCTCTGCACCAGGCGGTTCAGGTTGCTGGTCAGGTGTGGGGTGAACACATCCAGGTCRAAGGGATCGATGTGTCCCTCCAGGAAGTCGATGACCTTCTCAAGCCTGCAAGCAGAGCACMGGGCTCCTGTCAGGGCTGACCCCTGGTGATGCCAGCTCTGAAACAGCCAGGGATTTCCTGAGCAGAGCAGCAATTACTCAGCACAACAGCTCCAAGGGTTTGCAGCCCTTACACAACCCCCAGCAGCAGAACTTTCTCCCTGTGGTACCCCCCGGGAGAGAGGCCTCGGTGCTCCAGGCTGGAGCTTGCACAACTCTTGGCTGGAACCTCARTTGTTCTCTCCAGGGACATCCCTATGACACAGGGACAGGGGGACAGCCCAATCCCTCAGCCCTTGGCCACAGAATCCCAGCCCTCCTCTGTTTGAGGATGAGCTYAGTGTTGATGCAGTGGCAGAGCTTGGAGCCTGCACCGTTTTAGGGCTCCCCAAACCGCACCGGAAGGATGTGAACCCCAGAACGTGCCATACCTGGAGTCCTTGATCCTGCTGGGTTTTGTGTCCTCACTCTTGGCTGTCAGGATGATGCTGAGGTACCTCAGGTCRTAGAGTAACTGCAGAGCCCTGCTCTGGGTCAGGGGGAAGCTGTCYGGCCTCTGCAAAGGGACAGGCAGGAATGGGGCTCCTCCCTGGCACAGGACAGGCTGCCCAAGGGGCAATGGTTGAGAACAGCCCCAGCACAACCAGAGTGTGAAATCTGGTGTCTTTCCCCATTCTGCCTCAATTTTGGGGGAGGCAGGATGAGTGTAAGTGTCCCCTTTCCATGTGTCCCTGCATTCCCAGCCACCCTCCCATCCCACACCCAGGTACCTTCTCCTGCTTCTGCTCCACCAGCTTTTCATAGGCAGCGAGCACCTCTGCCATGCAGCTCCTCAGCAGCTCCTGCAGGGTCACCTTGGGCACCGTGTGGCCACCGACCCTGTTCACCTCCTGGCACAGGCTGAACAGCAGGCACTGCACGTGCCACGAGGGCTGGGGATGAGAACAGGGTTTATCTGCACATGGGCTGGAAGCTCCATTCCCTTCCCTGTCCCTTCAGATGGGTGGTTGTAGTGTCCTGCTTCCTCAGCAGCCACAAAGCTCTGCCCCACAGAGGCATCTCACAGGGTCTGATTTACTGGCACCCCAGATTTTGGGTTACAGCAGCTCTCAAAGTCCCAAAAAGGCTTTRCCAGAGGTGTTCACTGAGTGCCGTGAGAAGAGAATTGTTTGTTGTGCCTCTTCTGTCACCACAGACCCTGCTGTTTTCCCCTCACCCTTCTCCTGGGCCTCCCGAGTTCTGATCCAGCTGCTTTTTCCCTCAGAATCCACAGAATTCACRGGCTAAGGTTCACTACATTTCCCTGTCCAGCCCCTCCTGTGCTGTGCAAACACAGAATTCATTCCAGGGCCTCTCCCCCACACCACTGCCACCTGCTCTGTCCCTGTCAGGTCCTGCCTGTGCCACCACCACACCCATGGGAAGCCACACGCCTCAGTTCCCTTAGGATTCCACAGTCCCACWGCTGCAGCCCTGGCCTTCAGTGCATCCAACTTCCAAGAAATCTCTCTCCTGGGACCTCTGCTTAAATCAGGCCTAAGTCCTTCTCTGGCTCAGTTTTACAGGATCTGGGCCAACCTTACTCACAGAGATAAACAGTGACAATGACCCATTTCCTTCCTCTGACCTCTGTCCTCGAGAGGTGAGTATCTCAAAGAGCACCAGAGAGTGTTTATCCTCTGCTCGTGACACCAACAACCTCCCCAGCAGCTCAGGGAGTGTTTCTGGCAGGCAGTGCCTGCTCCTCCCCGGGCTGTTCCTCRTACCTGCACAGGCAGCCGGATCTTTGACGTCACGCTGCTCCCAGACTCGGTTTCCTCCTGGATTTCGATCTCATCCCAGCTGGTGGCTGTGGCCARGACAGCCCCAGCCGTGTCGAGCAGCAGCGTGTGGGTGAAGCACTGAACCAGCCCCTGGAAGGTGAAAGCCCCAGTCACAGGACAGTTCTAACAGGGCCACAACAGCCAGCCCACCCTGCCTGTGGCCTCCTGCAACCTCCACAAACTGAAGGATTCTCAAAGTGAATTCTCTGGAGACCATCCCACCCCTCTCCAACTGGGCAGCAGCACAGGGAGCTCTCAGCAGCCAGTGCTGACCCCAGGGAGGGAAACCCTCCCCAAAAAACATCTCTGAGGAGGGAAACAGCTCCTTACTTTGGTGACAGCTGAGCTCCAGATCTGATAMGCCAACAGGCTCTGCTGCAGGAGCTCTGCCTTCACCCCCTGCCACTTGGCCAGCTCRGGGGACACCTCCTGGGCTTTGTTCTTGCCCAGTTTCTTGGCAGAGCGTGGTTCCTTGGGTGCCAACTCCGCCCCGCCCGCCCTGCCCAGGACACAGCGCTGCAGGTGAGGGCACAGCTCGGGCAGGGCCTGGCACAGCCTGGCCATGAAGAGCACAGCGTTGAGCTTGGCGTCCCCAGGGGTGTCCAGCTGGCTCTGGGCGCTCTGGAGCTGCTCCCTGACRCAGCCCAGGAGGTGCTGGAYGCAGGTKACRCAGTGGTCACGGAGCAGCCCCTGCACGGTGCCGGCGTCGGCGAAGCGGTCGAAGGCAGAGTGCGGTGGCACCGCGGGCTCCTTGGGGACAGAATCATCCGTGGGCAGGTAGCACAGGACATCCTCCAGCCTGGCCTTCAGCTTGGAGTCCAGCGTGGAGCAGAAGCTCTGCACGCACGGAGTGAGTGCCTGCGCCTTCATGGCCAGCCCGCTTCTGGCGAAGGGCCCGCGCTGGCCCACGCTGACCCACGCCGCGTCCCCGGGCAGGTCCCCGGGGCTCTCTGACCACAGGAACAGGGCCACGTTGTGCTCCAGCTGGATCTGCTTGTTCAGGGCACAGCTGCCACCTTTCACTTCCAATTCCTGCAAGGCTACAGCCAGCAGCTGCTTGGAGCTGCTCGAGATGGAGTCRAAGCCTTCTTTGGTCAGAGTCTGCAACAGAATCAGGAGGGAAAAAATAATTTTAACACACATAAACACACCCTTGGTGCACTGTGGGCTGGTTGAGACAACAAAGGGGTGCACAGAGTGCTCCCCAGAGCACAGCACTCACCTGCAGCCTGTCCAGGAAGAGCTGCTGCAGCAGCTCCTCCCAGAAGGACAYGGGTCTGTCCAGCAGGCGACGGCACACGGCCTCCCAGTTGTGGCTGCTGGAATCGCTGGAGAGCAGCTCCCACACGGCGTCACGGATCCCTGCCAGCCCCTTCATGCTCTTCACGTACACCAGCAGTGTCCTGACCCCTGCCCTGATGTCATCGCTGCACCTGCAGGTAAAGGTTCACCTGTGTGAACCACAGGGTGCCTGGCTGCTGAACTGAGGGTGCAGGATGAGGAGGATGATGAGGATGAGGAGGAAGTCAGCCAGGCTGGGATTTTGCCTCAGTTCTAAGATCACATGGTGCCCWGTCCCACTCACATGCTGATCCACTGCTGCAGGGTCTCCCGGAGGTACTCCTGGCTGATGGGGTGTGCCAGGGTCCGCAGGGCCGGCTGGAATTCCACCACGGATTCCGGCAGGTACTTGAACCAGCTGCTCAGCTTCAAATCCTCCTCCAGCACCCCTCCTCTCCCTGCAATCACAGCCAAGGATCAGCAAAGCACGGGGCACCCTCCTGCCCGCATGGCTGGGTGGGTACAGGGCTCACCTGCAGGGTTTTGTCCCGTGGTGCTCTCCAGGGTGGAGAAGAGCAATCCRCAGGGCAGGGCTGGATCCGGGGCCACCCCCTCGGGCACGGTGTAGAACAGAGCGTGGGCCTGGTACAGGGTGGTGGTGAGCAGCTCCATCAGGGAACACACCTGAGCTTTGATACCTGCACCTGCACAGAGATGACTTTGAGCCAAGGCAGCCCATCAGCAGAGGTGAGTGGCACCGTGTTCCGAGCCCCGTGGTCCCATCCAGGGAAGGGCTGGAGGGCAAAGGATTCAGCCTTGTGTCCCCCTGCTTCCCCAGTACAGCTGGGCTTGGTTTAAACCCCTAAGAACTGTTAATTTTTGTGCTCTTTTGCAGCATCCTCGTCACCATGAGATTTATGCAATCACCCATCCCTACTTTGGGGACACGAGGAGGTGACGGGAAGGTTTCCCTTGGCAAGGAGCAGCCCGTGGCACTCACTGACCGTGGTGTGGCTGGTTGAGCAGCTGCTGGATGGCCAGTTTCCTGGCCAGCAGGAAGTCAGCCAGGGCCTGCCGTGGGGAGCTGTCCTCCAGCAGCATGATGGCACACAGRGCTTCTGCCACCGCCTGGTCCGAGCCCGTCCGGCAGCGCAGCAGGGCTTTGCTCTCCTGCAGGATGGTGGATCTGCCACGGGAACGAGMTGGGAGTCACTGCCTGAGCCACACRGKCACCCGGGGTGGGTGCTGGCTGCCAAGGCACTGTGATGCTTTCCCCAG